TGAGTGGTTTGTCTCAAGCTAGCAGTCACTCAAAACAAAACAGTTCTCAGCCTGAGGAAATCCTATACTGTCAAAATTTTAACAAGGATTTAAAACAACGATAGCTCATTAAATTAAAAAAAAGTTCTCAACCCCAGTGAGAGACGTCCTGTTGCTATGACAACAAGTAAGCACCACACTAGTTTTAAGGCATTTAATCAATGACAACTCATTTCCCTTTAACTGCACAGTGACAGTTTGTCTCAGTGGCCGTGCTGAAAGCCAGCAGCTCGCAAACCCCCAACGCTGGTTCACCAACCAGTCCCTGAACTCTCCCTTCTCTGAGTGTGCCCATCACGGCACGTCACACCTCCCACCAGCTTCTACATCAGCTCCTGCTCCCCTCAAAAAGATTGCACCCAGCCTTTAGAACTGTGAGAAAGAAAAATCATCTGAATAGCACCAAGTCTGTGGTGCTATTAGGTGCCAGACCTAACCGGAAGTTGTTCCTGACTCTACCCCAGGCCTGACAGCACCCCACCAGGCTGGGGCTCCCCCAGATCCTGGGCATACCTGGATGATTGCACAATCGTCACCCCCCCAGAGCTTTGTTATTGCCCCTGGGTCAGCCTGTGAACACTGGACATGAGAACTGGGCTACTTGCATCTCTCTGTTGTGTTTTTTTTTTTTTTAAGATTTATTTATGCATACAAGAGCTGGGTACAGGCCAGAGATGGGGGGTGGGGGCGGCAGTGAGAGGATTCACCAGAGACAGAATAGGGAACAGAACAGGCAGATATACTGAAGTACACTGCTGAGGGGAGCAGCAGCTGAGTCAGGAGAGGTCTGTTGCTCCATGTGGATTGCTCCCTGGCCGGCCGGGGATCGAACTCGTGTTGCAGAGGCTTCAGATTGCTTCATAGTGAGATGTTAACCCATTGCACCACCAGGGAGGCCCTACTTGCATCTCTTTGTAACCAGGTGATCCTGAAGAGCAGGACTTGGGAGGAAAAATAAGTGCCTGGCTCTGTAAGGGCCAATATGTGGTGGTTATTATTACAATGGAGCATCCCCGACACATAGCAGACATTCAGTAAATGTGCTTTTCCTCGCCTCCTCTGCCATCTGCCTGATCTACTGAGCAGCGATATATGTCAGCTGAATAAGAAACACTTCTTCTAAAGTACAAACCCACTAAGTTCTTTACCCAGATTTCAATCTGCAAAACTCCCTACTAAAACTCAGATTCCTTCATCTGGTGTTCAGACGAAGTTGGAAGGGGCAGAGAAGCCAAATTGCAATTCTATGAATTGAGCTTCAGTGAACATTAACTTTAGCAAAGACCTTACAGAGCTTTGATTACAACATCTGCAATTCACAAAGGAGAAGATTGAGGGCTTTGTGTTTGTCTTGCATCATTAACGTGCAGGGTGTTTAAGAACAGAGCAAGAGACTTTAAACCTCTTTGTGTTCCTTCATATGCTTACTTAGCACTTGAGCCTACTGTAATCCATTCTATGTGCCTTGCACATACTAGGTGCTCAAGAAACAACCTTTGAGTATATAATCTATTTAATTGATCAAAACCAGCCTTAGCACCTATCTGGGATCCAGAGACTGCTCACTGCCTACGACATATCTATTCTGCTCTTCTACCTTAGCAGAACTCCTATTTGGGGGAAGGGGTGAGGCCACAATGCTATAGACTAAAAGACTACATTTCTACTCCTTCTGCAACATAGTTTGGCCAGATTGATGTCTGATTAGATGTGAGTGGAATTAGTTGAAAAGGAGCAGACTTGGCCGGGAGGTGTAAATTGGGCTCTTCTTCCCTCCTGTTTTACTTAGTCTAAGCCTCAGCCTGCATGCCCGATGCGAAGGCTGGAGCGCCTGCAGCCCATCTTAACAGGATGAGGGGACACCAAGGATGGATGTCACACACCTTGGAGGGTGGAACAGAAAAAGAAGGGGGCCTAGGACCCTTCAGTGGAACCACTATGCCAGCCTAGACCTGCCTCCTGATGTCTTCACTGTGAAAGAATTAGCCCTGCATGTCTGAGTCACTGTGGTGAAGGTTGTGTTAGGGCAGCTGAACACAGTCCTTACTGATGCAGATGGGAAGTTTGAAGTGGTAAGTGGAAAAGGTTGAATTTTGGAGTAAGAACAAATTTGGGGGATCAGAATGCCAGTTTATAGTCATGGTCACACTCTCTCTCCTCACCCAGACTCCCTTCCTCCCATCATGGTCACAGACACGTGCTGTCAGGCAGAGGAAAAGGGTGGACTCCATCCTGGGGGCAGTGCCCCCCTCCATTGAACAGGAGCATCTGCCCAGGCTCTGGCTGCCACTGCGCTGGGAGGCAAGCACACTTCTTTAGCATACCAGTCCATCTACTTGTCTCCCCATACCTGTTTTGTGAAGTAAGTCCTTCTCAAAACCCTTCTTTGGCCATATAGAATGCTAATGCCCCACAAGCCAAGGGACGCCCGGCCTTCTGCAACAGTGACATGCCAGGCACAGTGCTAAGCATTCTGCATGCATTATTTCATTTTAGCCTCAGAATAGCAATCCCAGTTTCAGATGAGAAAAGCAAGCTCCGTTGCAGACCCCAGATCACACAACTAGGATGTGGCACCAAATGCAGAATTGCCTAAGTCCAAAGTGTAGCTTAACCTCCGCTCCAGCACTTAGGAAAAGCCTCTGGAGCAGCTGCAACCCCACCACCTTCCTCAAGATGGGCTGCCCAGAGCAATAAAGGCCACTCCCTCCTGTAGAGCTTGAGCCCTAAGTTAAACACCCAGACCATTCACTTCTGTCTTGTTAGAGGCAAGAGGTGAGGCCTCAATTTCCCTTTCCTTCTTCTGCCCAATGTCATAACATTTTACAACCCTGCTGACCTAAAAATAGGCTTCCTGCTTCCCTTGGGCTCAGTGTTTTGCAAGGGCCCTAGTCCCGCCTCATGAGCCTCACAGATATTAACAGCAGTGGCTACAGAGGGGAGTCCTGGGCTAAGAATTAGATCCTCTCAGAGCATGTTCTAACTATAGGACCCATCTTTCAAATGTGAAGGGTGCTTATTAACCATATGTACTGTGATCAATTATGGAGATATCTCTGGGTGGAATGTGATGCTGGGGTTCAGGAGTAGAGAAGTTGGTCCTTCACCAAAAAGATGAATCCTGGGGTAAAGGTTAAAGAGCGTGCTCATGCCAGCTGGATGATTCTTGTCTCCTTTCCTGGCACCACATCCTCCTGGAGGAGGCTCTCAACAGATGTCTACAGATGGAGGGCCAGCTGGTGGTCTCTGTTCCTTCCAAGGGCCACCTAGACTGCTGCTTCATCCAGGGGCTATATCCAGTTACCGAGCAGACTCAGTTTGGAGACCAGCAGGTGCCTGCTGCCTAGGGAAGGCTGCCACTTCTTTGGGCCTCTTCATCTCCCCACCTGATTTGTGAAACTCCAACTTGCTCAACTGGTATTGCAATCTCTCTGTAGGGTTTCAGCCTTAACAGAGCTTGTTTACAGAGCCCCCTCTGGTGGCATAGGTGCACCATTGCACATTTCAAACAACATATTTGGAATCGTACATAATTTTTTTTTGTTATTACTTTATTTTACTTTTTTTTTAAAAGATTTTTTTATGCATACAAGAGCTGGGGTACAGGCCAGAGATGGGGGTGAGAGGATTCACCAGAGACAGAATGGGGAACAGAACAGGCAGACTGACTGAAATTCACTGCTGAGGGGAGCAGCGGGCGAGACAGGAGAGGTCTGCTGCGCCATGTGGTTTCCCCCTGGCCGGCGGGGATCGAACTCGTGCTGCAGAGGCTGCGGATTGCTTCATAGTGCGGTGCTTAACCCCTTGCGCCACCAGGGAGACCGGAATCGTACATAATTTGACATACACCGGCACTTTCATATTGAATCCTCAGAGCAGTACAGTGGCTTCAGTATCACTATCACCATTTTTCAGAACATGAAACAGATACTTGGAGAGATTAAATCCTGGCTCAGTGTCACACAGTAAAGTCAGTCCAAAAATTCCCACACCTGCACCTCTGGCGGAGCGACCTCACTTGTTTGCAATGGTTTCCAAACTCCGCTGCCTTTGTAAGGTGTGTGTTCTAACTGAAGGATTTCGGGGAGGGTAGCAGGGCAGTGGCAATCAATTCTAAATCGGTTGCTGGTTCTGAAGTGGAATTAGAAGAGATTAATTAGAGCGATCAAGTGCTGCCGTGAGGCAAGAGGGGCATAACAGTTAGGTGTCTCCAACAATAAATGAAAATAGCCTCGAGAATTTAGCGCATCATTCGCTGCTTTTTTCTCTTTCCAGTCCAAACAGGTTTTCACTCTTTCAGATGTGGCCAGCTATTACTCTTGAATATAAATTTGTTTCTACGCTTAACTTTTGAAATTAGATTTCCAAAATTAATAAATATACGTCTGTCTACTTCTAAAGGGAAAAGAAGGCCAGTTTTTTTTTTTTTTAAAGACAGGCTTTTTTTTTTTTTTTTTAGAGTCAAGTCTTTTTTTTTTTTTAAGATTTATTTTTATTTATTTATACAAGCACTGGGTACAGTCAGCAGCGCGGGAGGGTGAGAGAATTCACCAGAGCCAGAGCGGGGAGCAGAGCAGGCAGAAGGACCGAAGTACACTGCTGAGGGGAGCAGCGGGCGGCAGGAGAGGTCTGCGCGCCATGCGGGACCCTCCTCCGGTGGCCGGGGAGCAGCCGGGGATCGAACCGGCGCTGCAGAGGCCGCGGGCAGCTTCGCAACCCAGCGCTCAACCGCTGCGCCACCGGGAGGCCCAAAGAAGGCCAGTTTTATAAAGCTCACATCGTTGACCCAAAAACCTGGAACAGGAGCCCCAGGGACTCCCTAGTAACAGAACTTCCTCCCCAGCAACGATCTCCTCGCAACCGCTCGAGATTCTGAGGCTGCAGGGTACCAACCGGATGTTGCCTGTGTCGCCATGGTTACCGACGCGAATCCGGAAGTTACGCGAGGGAAAAGGAAGTGAGGCGAGCTGGGAACCCACGTGTGTTCTGCGGAGCGTCTCCGGGCCTGGAAGCCGGCCCTGGAATCTCACTCCCGGCCGAGGGCTTGGCGGCATGGGTCGCTCCGGCAAGTTGCCCTCCGGTGCCTCGGCCAAGCTGAAACGCTGGAAGAAAGGACACAGCAGCGACAGCAACCCCGCCACCTGCCGCCACCGCCAGGCCGCCCGCAGCCGCTTCTTCAGCCGGCCCGCAGGTAGTGGACGCGAGGTCCGGGGCGGGCCGTGGCTGGTTCTGACGGGTCTGGGCCTCTCTGCAGGCCCCGAGGCCCGGGCATGGGGGCCTTTGGCCTGGAGCCTGCTGCCAAGACTCACCCTCCCCACTTAGCAGACGCGCAAACAGTCGGGTGGGGATGGCTGATCTAGAGTAACACCGGTATCGGAGTTAGAACTCCTGTTGCAGTAAACCTTGGGTGGCTCTTCCCAAAGCGCTTGCACCTTCATTTATTCCCCAAGCCCCCAGAGTGCAGCTCCCACGCCGATCCCGCGGTGCTTAAGGCATGGGACAGGAAACTTACCTGGAGGATCCCCTTTCTGACTTTACATTTCTTTTTTAAGATTTATTTATTTATTTATACATACAAGAACTGGGGTACAGGCCAGAGATGCGGGAGGTGAGAGGACTCACCAGAGACAGAGCGGGGAACAGAACAGACAGATCTACTGAAATACACTGCTGAGGGGAGCAGCGGGAGAGACAGGAGAGGTCTGCTGCACCATGTGGGTTGCTCCCTGGCCTGCCGGGGATCGAACTCTTGCTGTGGATTGCTTCATAGTGCTGTGCTTAACCCCTTGCGCCACCAGGGAGGCCCCTCTGACTTTACTTTCTGGGCGGGCGGCGGGCGGGTGATCCTGGCCGCACGTTCAGGATTCAGCCTCTCTGGTTGGCACTCTGTCCTCTGCTGGTTTGTTTCTTAGGGGTGCTTCTTGTTCTTGTACGGGTAGAAGTAGGGGCCTTACTTTGTGTCTCGGGTTCTCAGGAAAGAGCGACCTGACCGTCGATGCTGTGAAGTTGCATAATGAGCTGCAATCAGGGTCCTTGCGACTGGGCAAAAGCGAGGGGCCTGAGATGGCCATGGATGAAGAGGTGGCACCGGCGCTCACCGAGCAGTCCTCGGGCACCTTCCTGAGCGGCCTCTCCGACTGCACAAACGTCACTTTCAGCAAAGTGCAGCGCTTCTGGGAGTCCAACTCTGCTGCCCATAAGGAGGTAGGGCCGGAGACCTGGGAGGGGAGGGCCAGGCTCGTGCCTTTTCTTTGACAGTTGTTTCTGTTTTATTGATCTATTTATTTTCTCTCGAACTTTAATTATTTGCTACCCATTTGCATCTTTTCTTTCTTTTTGCAGTTTTTTCTTTTCTTCCACTGGCTGACTCCTGCCAGTGACAGCAGCTGGTATTTTTGGGTGATGTGTCATCTCTGCTACCCTTCCCACCCCCTGTTTCTTACCCCTCCTGGGGCAGGTTCCACTTTTTGTTTTTTCTAATGAAAAGTGTAATGTCTTTAGGATAGAAATGTTTTCCAAATATTTATCTTTTTAGCTATGCTTTATACCCGACTTTTCACATAGCATACTTTGAAGAAACATTTGTTGGCAGCTCTCCTGCCACTTGTGACTATGCAGCGGCTTCTTTTGACATACCTTTTCCCTTTGCAAAGCAGCAGTGGCCCTCTTTCTGTTCAAATGTCTTCTCCTTTCTTTTTCCTAATAAACCTGTCCTTTTAAAATGTTAAAAAGAAATTGTTGATTAAATTAATGCTAAATAATGTTGGTTGGAAAATATCTAACAGAAATGTTATTTCCATTTTTTGAGTCCATATCATAAAATGCTTACATGTACATATTTTTCATTCTTTAAATGAAAAATGTCAAAATGGTACCAAAGCGACATGAGTAGAATAAAATGTGAAAGTTGTCCTCCTAACTTAGCTCCCTCCTGGTTCCCATATTAATGGTTCATTGTTTATTTTCCTAGCCCATGCTGTCCAACAGAGGTAACTCACAAGCTGCATAAGTGATTTTCAGTTACCTACTAGTCACAAGATAGAAAAGTAAATAGATGGTGAAATTAATCTTAATACTACATTTTATCTAATGTACTGTGTTTGAAATATTGTCATTTCCATATAATATAATCAGTATTAAAATGAGATGTTTTGTGTGGTTTTTATTATATTGTTTTTAAAATGTAGTGTGTATTTTATCCTTATATCTCCATTTGGATGCACTTGATTCATATGTAGAGTTCACAAAACTTATATTTGCAAAGAACTTCATATACTCAAGTTCTAAATCTCTGCTTTCTGGTAACAGAAGCAAGTATTTATTTTCAGTTCAATTAATACAATTTTAAAATTCGAAATGTCAGTCCCTCAGTCACACTAGCTACATTTCAGGTGCTCAGTGGCCTCTTGTCAACATTACTGTTCTAGACTTTTTGTTTATTTTTTAAGCCACATTTTGTTTAGATGAACTTAAACACACTTAAACACAATTTTCCCCACTGAACAGAATTTCTTAGTTACCATATATGATTGTTCCTCATTCTTTTCAATAGTTGTATAGCATTTGAGTCAATCATTGCTTATTATACAGTAATAGTGAATTGTTAATCCCTATTAACAGATACTTAGTTGTTCAGTTTATTGCTTCAGTGAGCACACTGGTACATAAATGTTTGCATGTTTATGCAGGTATTTCTGTAAGAGAGAGTCCTCATGGTGGGAAACGTGTTTGGCAAGCATTGACTCTTCCTCTTTGCTGGGCCTAAGCTGTACACCCCTGGCTCTGGGTGCTGCTCAGCTTATCTATCTCTGGATTTTCTGAAGGCGCAAGGCAAAGAAGCTACCCCGAGGTGGGGTTCGATCTAAAACAGATGTCATGGGTTCCTCTCCCTCCTGTGCAGATCTGTGCTGTTCTGGCTGCCGTCACTGAGGTGATTCGTTCCCAGGGCGGGAAGGAGACAGAGACTGAGTATTTCGCTGCCCTGGTGAGTGGGTTTGGGGCTGTTCAGAGCAGAAGGACAGTTGGGCTGCAGAGAGAAGCCGGGTGTCCCTGATGTGTGGGCCAGAGAAGGGCAGCCTTGAACGGGACAGTGCTCCGGTTGCTCTCAGGTGCTTGGCAAGGCTGCTGCTATTTGCTGCACTCTTGTAAACAAAAAGCCATTATCTTGTTAGTTTTTTTCCCTTGATCAATGAAGCTGGTTTAGGCTCCAGGGATCCTCTAGAAAAATGGTTTTCAAAGTGTGGTTTGGGGTCCCTAAGATCTTTTGAGGTCAAAATTATTTCTGTCATAATAATAGAACGTCATTGACCTTTTTTACTCTCACTCTTGTGACCTTACCATAGGGTTTGTTACATGATGTTTAAGGACATTATTTGCGTAGCTGATGGGATTGTGTTTGCATATTCTTATGTTTTAAATTTTACTATTGTCAACATCAATAGATACATATACACAAAACCTCTAGGGAATCTTCACTAGTTTTTAAGGGTGCAAAATTTCAGAACCACTGCTCTAGAACAAAAGTTGGCAAACTATGGCCCATCCACCAAATATGACCCCTGGCCTATTTTTGGAACATGCTGAGAACTAAAAGTGGCTTTAAACTCTTTTAAAGGAGACCCTAGGGGCCTCCCTGGTGGCACAGCAGTTGAGCGCTGGGCTGCAAAGCTGCCCGCAGTCTCTGCAGCGCCAGTTTGATCCCCGGCCCCTGGTGAGGGTCCCACATAGCGTGCAGACCTCTCCTGCCGCCCGCTGCTCCCCTCAGCAGTATACTTCTGTCCTTCTTCCTGTTCTGCTCCTCGCTTTGGCTCTGGTGAATTCTCTCACCCTCCCACGCTTCTGACTGTACCCAGTGCTTCTATAAATAAATAAATAAATCTTTAAAAAAAAAAAGGGGGGGGAGACCCTATGTGGCTGTGAAGCCTAAGATATTTATTATCTGACCCTTTCGAGTCAAAAATTGTTTGTTATACTCTTAAATAATGAAATAAACAGCAATATATGGTTTCTATCATGTGCAGGCAGTATTTTTTTTTAAGATTTATTTTTATTTATGCATACAAGAACTGGGGTGTAGGCCAGAGGTGCAAGAGGTAAGACCATTCACAAGAGACAGAGTGGGGAGCAGTACAGGCAGATCTGCTGAAATACACTGCTGAGCAGCAGATGAGACAGGAGAGGTCTGCTGTGCCATATGGGTAGCTCCCTGGCCGGGGATCGAACTCAAGTTGCAGTGGCTGCCAATAGCGTCATAGTGCTGTCTTTAACCCCTGCATCAACAGGGAGGCCCATGTGCAGGCAGTATTCTAGGTTTTTCATATATATTAATTAAACCTCACAAAAACTTAACTCATTTTTTAAAGTTTTTTTTTGTTTGTTTGTTTGTTTGTTTTGTTTATACAAGCACTGGGTACAGTCAGAAGCGCGGGAGGGTGAGAGAATTCACCAGAGCCAGAGCGGGGAGCAGAGCAGGCAGAAGGACCCAAGTACACTGCTGAGGGGAGCAGCGGGCGGCAGGAGAGGTCTGCGCGCCATGTGGGACCCTCCTCCGGTGGCCGGGGAGCAGCCAGGGCTCGAACCAGCGCCGCAGAGGCCGCGGGCAGCTTCGCAACCCAGCGCTCAACCACTGCGCCACCGGGGAGGCCCAACTTAACTCATTTTTACACGTGAATAAACTGAGTCACAGAGAGGTTAATAAGTTACTCTGTTACCCAATGCCAGCTGAGATATGAACCTCTGATATCAGGGCTCTTGGTCATAACCATTCTAGTGGACAAATATACCCCCATTTGCCCAGCCTGACACATTTCCCTTTCACATCTGTGATCTGGTCCTCAGATGACAACAATGGAAGCCGTGGAGTCCCCAGAGTCCCTTGCTGCTGTCGCTTACCTGCTCAACCTTGTCCTGAAGCGGTGAGTCCTGGCTCCTGTCGGAATCCCCCGTCTCTTTGTAGAGGGAGTGCGGGTGGGAGGAATCGGGCTGGCATTGCTACAAAGAACAAAAATGTACCTGCCGCAAGTGGCATTCTGCAGCCTCAGGCTGCCCGTGGCCTGGGATGTTATAGCTCAGAGTGAGTGTGGGCCTTGGAAGGGGGCATTAGGTGAGGGTGGGGTGGGGGATGTTGGCGTTGGGATACCAGGGGTCACTAGGGAGAAGATTATAGGGGCCTGACATGTGGACATGCAGAGAATGGGTAGTGGGGAAGATGAGAGAGGCAGAGAGCTCAGGTGCCGTGGTAGAAGGTGCCGAACTTGGTTGTTGCTCATTGGCCGAATGAGGGGGCTAGGGCGGTACTGCAACTGTTGGAGACTGCTTTGGGGCTCTGACCTTCTTTGTTCTTTACTTGCAGCGTGCCCAGCCCCGTCCTCATTAAGAAGTTCTCTGATACTTCCAAAACCTTCATGGATATCCTGTTAGCCCAGGCCAGCAGCGGCTCCACCTCTGCTGTCCGATGGGTTAGTCTCTGGGTTTTCCTTCTGCTCTCTTCCAGTGCCTTCTCCTAGCCCACCAGGCATGCCCCCTCCTGCTTCTTCTAGAGCTAGTCTAAAGTGACTAGAACTTGGATGCTTCCTGGGGGCTGGGATGGAGTGGGCAGGTGTGTAGACCCTCTGTGGACCCTCAGATGGATCTGTTTGAGGTTTTCTGGATTCAGTGGGAACCCGTGCTTCTTTTCCACCTGGCTGAGGCGGGTGAAGCTGAAAGACTGACTCTCCCTTTTTAGGTCCTCTCCTGCTTGGCCACCCTTCTGAGGAAGCAGGACCTAGAGGCCTGGAGCTACCCTGTGACCCTACAGGTGTATCATGGGCTACTGAGCTTCACGGTGCATGCCAAGCCTAAGGTAAGAGTGCTGCACCCCCAGAATATGGGAGAGGGCCAGCCACTAAAGTGGAAGCCTGGAGCCGGCCTGTCTGAGTGGAATCAGAGAAGGTGCCCTGAGTCTGCGTCCTGCCCCACTGCCCTGTCTGCCCAGCGCTGGGGCGAGCAACAGTCGTGCAGCAGGAATGTTCAGCATTGGGCCCTCTGAGTCTCCACTGCTTCATTGGTCAGTAATGTGTTATTTACGGGGGGTAGGGGCTTTGGTGTCAATAACCTGAATTGTATACTGGGGTCACTGCTAGTGCTGTGACCTTGGATATGTCACTTTATCTTCCTAAGTCTCGATTTCTTACCTATGAAATAGGGGTAATAATAGCAACTGTGATGCAGAATTGTGGGGAGACTCCTGTCTTCCCCACAGGCTGGTACAGCTCAGCAAATGGTGGTTGGCCACTGTTTCCTCCTGAAATTTAGGGCAAGGCCATGGGACAGTAGTAATAGTCTCACTCGCTGGGCCCTCATTCCAGGTGGGCTGATGGCCTCGCCCTGTAGCTCTGTGTGCTCCCTCCCTCCCTTCTCTGGCTCTGTGCTAAAGTGTTGCTTCCTTGGAGTGACACTCTCCTTACCACTGTGTAAAAAGTAACAGCCCTGCTTTATTGTCTGAAAAGTACTTTTTACCTTCTGGTGTCTATTTGCTCATTTTCTTCCTCCCAAAGAGAACGTGAGTTGTTTACTCTGTTCACTGCCAAATTGCTGGCTGGATGATTGGATGGATGAATGAAATCCTAGTTGTAAAGATGAGGACACAGGCTCAGAGACTGGGAAATTTGGCTCACTCGAGAATGTAGGAGAGTGGGGTTGGAACTGAGACTTATCTTACTCCACTTCTGAGAAGTCTAAGTGCGAAGCCCTAGGGGGACCATCACCACATTGGAGGCCTGCGATCAGTGCTTGTGACCTCCACCCAGCTGATCCAGCCCTGTCCCCCCTTTCTTTGCCCCTCAGGTCCGGAAGGCTGCCCAGCATGGCGTGTGCTCGGTTCTGAAGGGCAGTGAGTTCATGTTCAGTGAAAAGGCCCCTGCCCACCATCCTGCGGCTGTTTCCACTGCTAAGTTCTGCATCCAGGAGATGGAGAAGTCTGGAGGTGGGAAGCCAGCTTTGGGGCAGGGTGGGTGGGGCCAGGCCAGCAGGGAAGATTAGGGCCTACTGCAGAGAGAGGCAGGAGCCTCAGCTCCCCTTTGTCTGCCAGGCTCCAAGGAGGCCACAACCATGCTGCACATGCTGACTCTGCTGAAGGACCTGCTGCCCTGCTTCCCCGAAGGCCTGGTGAAGAGCTGCAGTGAGACCCTGCTCAGGGTCATGACCTTGAGCCATGTGGTATGCTCAGGCTCCAGAGCTATGGGTAGGGCTGTGCCAGGCTCTGGACCCCCTGCCCATGGTACTGTCACTTAGAGAACTCTCTGGTCAGGCCCAGAGCAGTCCTGGGGTCTCCCTACCCAACACTACTCCTGGGGACACAATCTCATCCCTGGGGCCAGAGGGAACAGGCCATCTTTGGGTGCTGGCCTGGTTGGGAACTGGCCTCAGACACCACGTCAGAGTGGGAATGGACCGGTGGCAGGCAGCTCTTTTTTTGTACAGAAACTTTAAAGATATGTAAACCATAAAGATATATTAAAAACGATCCCCTGCCTTCCTGCCACACTTCTCAATATTTTTTTCAAGTATTCTTAAGTATTTACTATGTAAATAACATGGTCATTGTTTAAAAAGAAAAAATACTCAGAAGTATATAAAATAAAAGCTAAAGATACCTTTCCCCCTCCAAATCTTATTTCCCAAGATAAACATTGCAAACAACTGATTGTGTGTCCTTCCAGGTATTTTCTCTTTGGGTCAACAAACACACATACAAATGTGGTGATGCAGCTGTAGCCACAGTCTGCAAGCCATGAGGAGCTGTTTTTCTTAGCCCATTGTGTTAAGAACATTCTGTTCATGTTTTGCCATTGCCTTTGTTCAGATCACTTAAAAGTTTTCTTCCAGGAATGACTAATGACAGTCCAGGTGTGGGAGGAAATGTTTGAGGTTCAGAGGGTTCAGGGCAGCCATGAGTTGTGTGATTCCCCACTAAGCCTAAATGTCTTCTCTAGCTGGTGACCGCCTGTGCCATGCAGGCCTTTCACAGCCTCTTCCATGCCAAGCCTGGCCAGGACACCCTGTCAGCAGAGCTCAATGCCCAGATCATCACGGTGAGGCCCAATGGTGAGGGAGGGGCATTACTGGGCTGGGCCCCTTTAGAGGCAGCATGTGTGTGTGTGTGTGTGTGTGTGTGTGTGTGTGTGTGTGTGTATTAGGGGGTCAGTCCTTACTTGTCTGCAGAGAGGTTGAGTGGGCTGGGCTGCACCAGTTCAGGTCCCCAGGACACGGACAGCTGGCAGGAGCCCGGCACCAAGCCAGTGTCAGTGTACACAAGAGCTTCTTCTTTCTTGCCCAAGTGGTAGTTAATAAACTACTTCAGCATGGTCTCATGCTGCTAACAGATACTTTGAGTAGGGGTGCTCAGCCTTAGGAATCTGTGGATGGATTTGGGGAGAGGCACATCAATCTCCCCAAAATTATTTGCAAATGTGTGATTTCCACAGAAGGGCTCTGGCTTTTGTTAGATTCACAAAGGGCTTTGTGAGTCAGGTTATACTTTACCCCTCCTAGACCCTTCTCCCATGGAATCAGTACCAGAAGGGATTCATAGAGAAGGGAGAGGCAGAAGCTGGGGAGGCCACGGAGGCTGCGAGTTCCAGGGTCATTCCCATAGGCCCAGCACTGGGTCATGCTGCCGCCTGTGACGCTTGGGGCCACTGTCCTGTGCTGCTGCTGAACACACTTGCTCAGTCCCTACTTGTTCCCTGCCCCACCTCTAGGCCTTGTATGACTACGTGCCCAGCGAGAATGACTTACAACCCCTGCTGGCCTGGCTTAAAGTCATGGAGAAAGCCCACATCAACCTGGTCAGGTAGGGACGTGGTAAAGGGACATCCCAGGGGCTCCTTGCTCTGCAGTACCAGCGGGAGGGACATGTGTGGAAGCTGGAGAGGGCTCATGTTCCTGGGGACAGCAGTGTTTCCATGTCAGACGTGCTGCCCACAGGCTTCTGTGGTGATGAGGCTCGGGGAAGGTTAGCCCAGCCTGTCAGCCAGGGCCACAGAGCCCTGCAGATAAGCGACTGTCATTGGCCCTGGGCCATTCTGTGCCCTCAGGTCCAGTACCAGGACACCAAGGAAGCCTTTTGTCTTGACAGGCTGCAGCGGGACCTGGGACTGGGTCACCTCCCACGCTTTTTTGGAACTGCGACAACCTGCCTACTCTCCCCCCATTCGCAGGTGGTTACAGCTGCCACCCAAAGCCTCCAGGTACTGTTCCCCCTGTCCCCCAGAGCCTGCTTTAGTGGGAAAGCAGAGAGGGTGCTCTATTCTGCCTGCTGCCGTCTCTCCCAGAGCTCACCCCGGCCTCCAGCAGCATCCTTGGGAGGAGGGTCTACGGACGGGGATAGGCTTCCAAGAAGCTTCAGGAAGCAGTCACCTAGGAGGGTTGAGTGGCACTGGGGGGCCCCGACAGCCTGCAGCCTCTCTTTGCAGGAGATTCTGAAAGAAAGTGTGGCTCCCCACATGACCGACATCGGCTCTGTGACCTCCTCAACCTCAGGCCCTGCCCAGTATGTCGCCAAGATGTTCAGGTGAGAGCATAGCATCCGTATTAAGAGGAAGTAAGGTGTACCTCGTAGAAAGTTCTTCATAGTGACAGTGCTCCACCTGTCACTGAGGGCTGTACGGGCCACAGTGGCTGCTGTCATTTGTGCGCCAACCATATTCCTGGTGCCGTGATGTGAGGCTCGTGTGTGTGGACCCTGGGGCCAGTGCAGGCTCCTGTACCCTCACAGTCCTCGTCACTCCGAGGTTAGATGAAGTAGTAGCTGTAAAGTTTGCAGAATAGTAGCTGGTGTGTAGTTAAGGTCTCAATAGTCCTTACGGTTCTAGAAGATAAGGACTGACCCTCATTTGACAGATGGGAAAACTCACCTACCTAGTAAGTAGCGGCATGACCGCAGAGTCCACGCTTTTTCATGTGCTGGGCTGCCCTCCACTCCTACACGGGGGCCATTCCCAGACTGCACCCTGACCACCCTTGTCCCCAGCAGGCAGTGAGGAGCCTCAGCACCAAGCACACGGGATGGTCTCAGGAAGGGGCTGGGATTCTTGGTGTCACCTCTGTGTGTCTATGTTCAGCTCAAAGGTGTGATGTTGTAGATACTGTCCCTTATGGGACATGGGCCTGTTCCTGTTTATACAACTGGGATGAAGTTTCAGGAAAACTGAGAAACAGCTGCCTGCCTCCCTAATTCATACTTTTCCCCTGAAGGAGGGGACCAGCTCCTGTTCTCAGCTCCTGTTCTCACACTGAAACCTATTGGCCATTCTTGCCTAAAATCTCAGGGGGCTAACTCTGGGAGATGGAGCTGACCAAGGTGTGCACAGGCTGGAAGGGGCTAGGCTGAGCCGGCTCTCCCTCACTCTGCCCTGCTGCTGTAGCTTTCCTCTCTGCGCTGACCACTGTCCCTACCCCATCCACCCTGCCTTGGGTTGGACTGGGAGAGCAGGAGACAGAGACAAAGCATGGCTTTGTCTGATTACGAGCAAAGTGGCCACGGCCAGGTTATTTGCTGAGTGTCAGTTTCCCCCTCTGTAAGTTTTCCCTTAAGCACTAGAATTACCTGAATTAAGTCCTAGCACAGGGAGTGGTGTGGATGCTTGTTAGTTCTCTCTCTAGGCCTGTGCTGAGGCCCCACCCTTATTGGCCAGCTAGTTGGTGGTCTATAACTCCTAGTGCCAGCCATTGATTTCTTGGTTGGGGCCCTGGGGCCTAACCTTGACCCTTACTGCCCCTTCCTTGGCAGGGCCGTGGAGGAGGGCCTGACCTACAAATTCCATGCAGCGTGGAGCTCCGTGCTACAGCTGCTATATGTCTTCTTCGAGGCGTGTGGGAGGCAGGCTCATCCTGTGATGAAAAAGGTAAGGTGGGGTCTGCTGGACTGTGATCTCCTGGAGGGAACCCTGTGATATCTGTCCTCGGTCCCCTCCTTCAGTGCCCGTAGCAGGTGTCCTGTTCTGTGTCCCTTGGAAGGTGACTGGGCCAGGTGGAAGGAGTGCGAAGAGGCCTAGGAGCCCCGGTCCCACTCACCTGCTCACTAGTCTTGGCTAGAGCTTGGTTTTGAAGTTCCTAGGGAACCAGTGTGATTCTCCCTCATTCTACCTGTTATCTTCTAGTTTTCTAAAACTTCTATGATGGGGGAGTGTAGTGTTTTAAGCCTTAATTACTACAGCCCGGAGTAAACCATTTACAGATCAGGGCTTAGCCAGGGACCTGCCCCAGCTCCTGTTCTCAGGCCCCAGCCCATCAGCAGCAGGTGGAACATCACTCTCCCTTCTAGGTTGGAAGAAAAGTGCCTCCCTAGAAGGACAGGCTTCCCCAGGAGACCTGAACCCTAATAGATTAGGTGTGAACCCGAATAGATTAGGTTGGCAAACATGCTTCCTACAGGAAGCCAGACAGGCCATGAAGAGTGTCTCCAGGAGCCCTCTCGGGGCTCCTCAGTACCTGACACCTAGCTCACTCTTACATGTGGGTCTGCCTTTGCCAGGCATTCCCATTTTTCAAGGTGGACTAGAAATCTATATTTGTCTGTAAAACCTGAATTCTACTTGTTACTAACAAATACAGACTTTGTTTTTAAACCCTGGGGCTCTGGGGAGGGGTACAACACATCAGGGGGTTAAATTTGATTATTGGTTTATGACCTCTGACCCAAGGCTTAACCTGGGCTCGCACTCCTGACCTCGTCTCTTAAGAGACTGGCCTGGACCAGCCATGAGTTGCTGCTCCGTGAGCACAACTTAGTGTCTGATCTGTCATTTCTTTGTTCTAGTGTCTCCAGTCCCTCTGTGACCTGCGCCTCTCCCCCCACTTCCCCCACACAGCAGCTCTGGACCAGGCGGTGGGGGCTGCTGTGGCTAGCATGGGACCTGAGGTGGTTTTACAGGCTGTGCCTTTGGAGATCGATGGCTCTGAGTAAGTGGGACTCTTGTTGACTTCTGTACAGGCCCCAAGAGAGTAGGAGGCCTGTTCCCTGCCTCCCCTCAAGGTGTCCGCTCAGCGGATGGAGCCTCTAAGCTGTGCAGGGCTAGCAGGAGAGGCTGACATAGCTGGTGCTGCTGCTTGGTGCGGGGCGGGAGGTCCTGCCCGCTGTGCTGTCACCGCTTCCTCACTGGCCTGCCTCCCCACAGAGAGACCCTGGATTTCCCACGGAGCTGGCTGTTGCCCGTCATCCGGGACCACGTCCAGGAAACTCGACTTGGTTTCTTCACCACCTACTTCTTACCCCTGGCTACCACCCTGAAGAACAAAGGTACAGGGCGCACCCCCAGTCTAAGGCCATTCGGTGGCCTTCCTCTGCCAAGCAAGTGACCAGCCAGTGCCTGCCCTGCCCTCTGCTCGGAGGTGTGTGGTCAGGCATCTGCCCCAGGGGAGGAAGACCGCTTCCTCCTCTCCCAACACAGAAATCAACAGACTAGTACACACCAATTTACACCTATAATGATGGTCATAGCAAAAAATCTGGCACACCCTACATGTCCCTTCGTGGGGTTCCACTCGACATGGTAAAGCCCCCCAGTGGGTTCATATGAAGAGAGAGACCGTGGCTGGGAGTGCACACGGGAGTTGAACAAATGCGCTGCAGAACTCAGCTCCGCCTGGGTCTGCTGCTTATCTGTAACTGGGGACAGAGTTGCAACATCAAGTGAAATCATCATGAAAGTGCCCATTACATGCCTGCCGTGTGGAAATTGCTCCATATAAGTTGCCCACTTTATTATCAAGTAAAACAAAGCTCCAGAACAGTGTGTTGGGGGCAGGGGAGGAAGAGTCCAGTCTTATGTCTTCTAAAGTGTGCATGTGACCAAAGAATTGTAAGAGAAAAGACAGTGGAGTAATGATGGGGGCCACTCACTTCCTGTTTTTCATAGGCCTTTTTAATTTCTCAGAATGAGCAGTGCTGTTTCAGTGTGTGGGGAGTGGGGTCACCCATATAGCTGTCCTCATCGCTGGGCTTTTGGTTTTGGTGAAAATGAGATCTGTGGACTGGGAGGGTGCCAAGGGTCACTCTGTGTCCATGTGTCATACTCCAGCAATGAGCCTGGCCCAGGCGGGCAGCACGGTAGAGTCCAAGATCTACGACACGCTCCAGTGGCAGGTAAGGGGTCATGGGGGCTGTGGGTGGGACTAGCTAGGCACAGGTTACTAGGTGTCACCTTCCTCCACCACCCCCTTCCTCCCCAGATCTGGACCCTCCTGCCTGGGTTCTGCACGAGGCCCACGGATGTGGCCGCCTCCTTCAAAGGGCTGGCTCGAACACTGGGCACAGCCATCAGCGAGCGCCCAGACCTGAGGGTCACTGTGTGCCAGGCCCTGCGCACTCTCATCGTCAAGGGCTGTGAGGCAGGTATGTGTGTGCTCTTGGCTTCCGGTGGGTGGGATGATGGCTCTGAGGGGCTGGGTCCCCTGGCTCCCATCTCCTGGACTGCCAGGACTCTGCTGGAGCCGTAACTCCTCCTTGCGAGGACTTCAGGTTTCTGCAGGGTACCTGGGGAGTTAGTGGGATGCTGACAGCTGCTGGCAATTGTTCCTTCAGTGTGGAAGGTCCAAGTGGCTGGCACTTGACTGGCCCCGGGACAGGAGCTGGTGGCACCTCATTTTCTGTGCTCTGACCTCAGCCTCTCCTGTCCCAGAGAAACCCCAAACCCATGGTTCCAGATCTTGTCACAGCCTCCAGAAAGGATATCTCTAGGCTGCAGCCCTAGCGGTCTTTGAGGTGGGTTCACTTCTTGTCCTTTTTATGCAAACTTTGATTCTGCTGTCAGAGGCTGACCGTGCTGAAGTGAGCCGCTTTGCCAAGAACTTTCTGCCCATCCTCTTCAACCTGTATGGGCAGCCTGTGGCAGCCGGGGACACCCCAGCCCCTTGCCGGGCCGTGCTGGAGACCATCAAAACTTACCTCACCATTACTGACACCCAGGTAATCAGGCGGGAAAAGGGACAGGAACCCTCTTGGGGGTATTTATTGGAAAGGCTGAGATCCTCCCCACTGCAGTTCACTGGGCCTCTGCCACCCAGAGATCAGGGGACCAGAGAGTAGTCGTGGTGGCTAGACTGGACCCGAGGTTTCTAAATGGGGGAAGAAAGGTTGCAGAGAAGACGGTGCTCTGTGTTTCTCTCTTCAACAATTCCCTTCTCCTCATCTTCCTGGGCTCCAGCTGGTGAATGGTTTCCTGGAGAAGGCCAGTGAGAAGGTGCTGGACCCGACTGGCTCAGACTCCACCAGGTAAAATGTCCCATCCTGAGCTGGGAAGCCCAGGGAGCGAGAGGGTGTGTTTAGCAGAAGGCTTATGGGTTCTCTCTGGAATTATTCAGGAAAGGCTTAAGACACTGAATGTCCCCTCTCTCTTGGGCGTCCTGACTGCCTCCTTCCCGAAGAGGCACTCTAGCCTGCTAGGAAAGAATGGGGATTCTGGAGGGCCTCCCTGGTGGCTCAGGGATTAAAGTCTCAGCACTATCAAGTTATCACCAGCCACTGTGGCGTGAGTTTGATCCCCAGTCAGGGAGCTACCCAATTAGTGCAGCAGACCTCTCCTGTCTCACCTACTGCTCCCCACTCTCTCTGGTGAATCCTCTCACCCCCTGCACCTCTGGCCTACACCCCAGTTCTTGTATGCATAAATAAATACATCTTAAAAGAAAAATAAGAGTGGGGATCCTGAAGACACTGCCTAGGTTCAAATCCTAGCTCTACCACTTACAGCAGTGTGGTCCTGGACAAGTGACATACCCACGCTGTACCTCTTTGTCCTGTAAAGTAGGCATGATAGCACTCCCTGCAGCAGGTTGCTGTGAAGACTGAAGGGCCAACACATGGAAAGCCCCTCAGACAGGGCCTGGAGTGTAGTGCCCAGCCCGGAGCTGGCAATAGCTGTTCTTCAGACTCCTTTGAGGCCCTTGTCCTACTCACCCTGACTGCTCCCACCTTCCCTACACCCAGTAGACATAAGAACACTGATAATCAGTGTCTCCCACAAATCTCTCCTTGGTCTCCTCCCCTGAGCAGACTGTCTGTCCTGGACCTGGTTGTGGCTTTGGCTCCTCATGCTGACGAGGCCGCCATCAGCAAGCTGTACTCCACCATCCGCCCTTACCTAGAGGTGAGCCACGGAGGCCGGGACCCCCACACCACCACACTTGGGGGAAGACGGGATCATCCCTGTGGGAACAGGTGTCATCCCTGTTGCTCCCAAGACCAGGTCGTCATCTGCTTTCTCATGGCGTGGCTGCCTGCCATGCCCTGCCTCGCCCATCTGCCCTGTAGGTGCCAGAGTGACTGCAATTGCACAGCTGTGCTCAGGCCTCACCTGCTAAGACCCACTTGCAGAACTGAACCCCATACACCTCCTGCTCACTTGCTGCTCACTCCCACCCAGCCTGATCTTCATCCCCACCAGTCCACCTTTTCCCTCACCCTCCCGCCAACACTCCAGCCTCACTGATGACGTCTAAGAGTCCCTGAGACTATAAGAGCTCCTCCGTACCACTGCCCGTACTAGGTCCTCTGCTTGCCATGCTTATCGTCCTCCTGCTATGGCTAGCCACCAGGCAGTGACAGCAGTGACTGAAAGCTGTTACTGCTGCCACAGTTGAGCGAGCACTTACTTAGTAGTGTCTAAGGTGCTCTGGGACCCAGAAGGAAAGGTGTCCAGGTTGGGGTCAGTGCCACAGAGAGCTCTTGTGGAACAGCAAGGAGTTAGTCAGGCACAGGAGAGAGACGAGTGCTCCAGTCAGAAAGACAGGCAGGTACATGGGCCCTGGCGCATTCCAGATACTGCAAGTTCACACAGCTCAGTAGGCACTGCTTCAGGGCGGGTGGCTGGACTGATGGGGGGATGGGTTAGCTTCACTCTCCTCAGCATCCCCTGCCTGGCATATTGTTAGCCGCTTGCTGTCTATACCCTGCCTGCCCTCTCACCGCACCTCATGAGTTCCCATGGGAGCTAGCTTCTCTGTATCCTCTTGGGCGCCGGCCACACTGGAGGCTGCTCTGTGAATGTTAACAGATGGGGGTGGATGGATGGACAGGTGATGGACCCCCAGCCCCAATTCCTTATCTATCCTTGTCTACCATGTACCCTCCCAGAGCAAGGCTCATGGGGTACAAAAGAAGGCCTACCGTGTGCTTGAGGAGGTGTGTGCCAGCCCTCAGGGCCCTGGGGCCCGCTTCGTACAGAACAACCTGGATGACTTGAAGAAGACCCTGCTGGACTCGCTACGGAGCACTTCCTCGCCTGCCAAGAGGGTGAGGCCTCCGTGAACAGCTTGTTCTGCCCGAGGGAAAGAAGGGAACCACTGTGGAGACCCTTAGGGGGCTTCAAGGGCCAGGGTGGCATTTGGGGGATCCTGACCATTGCTTCCCCACCCCCATGCAGCCCCGTTTGAAGTGCCTCGTACATATTGTGAAGAAGCTCTCAGCTGAGCACGAGGACTTCATCGCAGCCCTTGTCCCAGAGGTGAGGCATGTGGGAAGTGAGGGGTTCGGGGAGTCTGTTGGAGCGTGGCTCCCGAGGGCCTGCAGGGGCCAGGGAGGGCAGTGTTTGGTGTGGGTTGGGCTTGTTTCCCTACCTGGGAGCGTGGGTGTCCTTACCTGCCCCCTTCTGCCTCAAGCTGCCAACCCAGGGAGCATGTGCTCACAGGTGTGTTTGGGCAGGTGATCCTGTGCACCAAGGAGGTATCAGTGGGTGCGCGGAAGAATGCCTTCAGCCTCCTCGTGGAGATGGGCCATGCTTTCCTTCGGTTTGGTCCGAACCAGGAAGGTAAGGCTGAGGTGACTCAGGGCTGGGATAGATTCTCCACTCATGGGCTTTTTTTTTTTTTTTAAGATTTATTTTTATTTATGCATACAAGAACTGGGGTGTAGGCAAAAAGGGGGGGAGGTCAAGGATTCACCAGAGACAGTGGGGAGCAGAACAGGCGGAGCTACTGAAACACACTGCTGAGGGGAGCAGCGAGTGAGACAGGAGAGGTCTGCTGCACTGTGTGGGTCAGCTGCCTGGCTGGGGATCGAATTCGCACCACAGTGGCTGGCGACAGCCTCATAGTGCTGAGACTTTAACCCCTGTGCCCCCAGGGAGGCCTTCCATGCCCCCAAACCCCTGACCAAAGAGAAAAGATGGGGAGAGCAGCTCTGAACCGAGGCAGGCTGCTCCTCTGTGGCCTAGAGTCCCTCTCCCTGGTGGATCTGAGGTGCAACATGTGGGTGGGTTCTGCCTTGCTGTGACGTCAGTGTTCACCCTCCCAGAGGCTCTGGAGCGCTACCTCGTCCTGATCTACCCTGGCCTTGTGGGTGCTGTGACCATGGTCAGCTGTAGCATCCTGGCTCTGACCCACCTCCTTTTCGAGTTTAAAGGTAAATGCTACTTTCTCATAGACCGGGGAAGCTCTCGGGAGGATATTACCCAGAAAGTCAGGCCAAGATGGTCACTGGAAGGGGAAAGGTCCCCGGAGGGAGGGAGGGAGGAAGAATATGCAGACCAAACCAGCCGCCGCCTCATTTCCTCGGCCACCCTCCCTCAACACAGCTGCCCCACATCCCACTGTCAGTGTGAATAAGCTGGTCCCGTGCCCAGATTGTATTCCTGGGTCTGCCTCTTTCCAGTAACATGAGAGCACTGAGCAAGTTATTAACCTCAAGGGCCTCACTCTCCTCTAAAATGGGGCAGAAAGGCGGCGCCGCCTCCTGGTGTACCTAAAGGACTAGAGGAGACGCTCCATGGAAAGTGACTGGGACTGAGCTGGGAACACGGATATCTCCTAAATGATAACACTCTGGTGGCCTGGTGGGGCCGCACCTCGGGGTGGGATCCTGGGTGTCTGACAGTGGCCCGTGGCCCCAACAGGTCTGATGGGCACCAGCACAGTGGAGCAGCTGCTGCAGAACGTGTGCCTGCTCCTGGCCTCCCGCACCCGTGACGTGGTCAAATCAGCTCTGGGCTTCATCAAGGTGGCGGTGGTCATCATGGATGTGACACACCTGGCCAAGCACGTGCAACTGGTGGTGAGTGTCCCCTGCCATCCCCTTGGCATGGCAGCATGGAGCCGGTGAGCCTCGAGCATAAAGTTTTAAACATTTCTTGAACCACCAACTATCTTGTGCGTCAGGGGGTCATGTAGGTGCCTGGAAGGACCAAAAAGGGAATGCCAGCCCCATGTGGCGAGGAAGGAGCATGGTGCCTTGGCTGCCTCTTCTCAGCCCTCCTGATCCCCATGACAAGGCCCTGCGTGGCTAAGGCCAGGTGGCAGGGTGACCGCTTGTTTTACAGTTGGGGAAATGAGGCTAGAGATGTCCCAAGGTCACGGTGCTAGTGAGCAGCAGCTCTGGGCACAGTTAGGTCAAGGTAGCCTGCCCGTGCGGTCCATCTGCTGTCCTGTACATCAATAGTAAAGCAGAATTGTAAATTTTTAGGCTGAGTATTGAAGGCATACCCCAGTACACAGAGAATAAAGACTTTCCAGAATCAACTCAGAAATATCATTAAAGAAGCATCAGCAATAAGTAGCAGCAGCAATCCCTGGCATGAGGAGAGAATCTGATTTACTTAGTTGCCACACTAAGACTTTCAAAATTCCTGTTTTTAGAAAGTATGGCATGCAGAAAGGTAGGAAAATAACACAGTATCTACGAAGAAAAGAAATCAAAATCCTGCCAGCTTAAGTGGGGCCCAAAGATGCGGAGGAGGATTAAAGCAGTGATTCACTATAGGGGTCCTAAGGTTTGTAAAAGCCCATCAGAGGATCCATGGGCCCCTCTCTCCCCACCCCTCTGAGAGACACTGCAGATAATGAGCTCACCCCACACTGCCCCAGCTGGGCCAGATGAAGGCACCCCAGAGAGCACCCCAGAGAGCACCCCAGCCAGAGATCAATGCAGGCCATCAAAAGAGACACAGAACTAAGAGAGACCTGGTCATTTGGGGGACAAAGTGTAGCACATGAAATAAACCTGGGTAAACTCTTGCCCTTGCGGCCTCTTAGCAGCCATTTAACTCTGTGCCTCAGTTTCCTTGTCTGTATGTTGGGGATGGTGTCTGCCTCCCTGGGTTGTTCTAAGGGATCAATGAGATAATGCAAGTAAAGTGCCAAAGTTCTGTAAAGCTGTCATCTTGGGAGGGTGGCTAGGGTGGTCAGGGATTGGGTCACGAGGGAGGGACTAGGGGAAATATGTGGGGGCTGCTCAGACCACCAGAGGCAGGCCAGGAACAGGGCCACTCTGGCCCTTACCTAGCTGGGCCTGGTAGTCCTGTGGCCCTGGTCGAGACAGCGGTGAAGGGGAGGCTGGGTAGAGGCAGGCCCCCTGAAGCCTGGTCCCCTGCGGGCAGATGGAGGCCATTGGGAAGCTTTCTGACGACATGCGTCGGCACTTCCGCATGAAGCTCCGGAACCTGTTCACCAAGTTCATCCGCAAGTTTGGGTCAGTACACGAAAGGGGTTGGGAGGGTGCGGGGACGGAACTGAGGGACATTCAGTCCCACCAAGGACCCTGCAGAGAAGGGGCCTGACCTGGGGACCAAGCCACCCTGCGGCCTGGAAGGGCCCCCACTGAACACCTCCGCCCTCTGAGCAGCACCCTGGCCAGGGTGCCTCACCAGCCCTCCACCCCTCAGGTTCGAGCTGGTGAAGGGGCTGCTGCCCGAGGAGTACCACAAGGTGCTGGTGAACATCCGGAAGGCCGAGGCCCGGGCCAAGCGGCACCGCGCCCTGAACCAGGCTGCCATGGAGGAGGAGGACGAAGAGGAAGAGGAGGAGCCCGCCCAGGGGGGCAGAGGCGACAGGTGACCCCTGGGGACCTGGCCTCCCCCACGCTGGAGCCTGCCCAGCAGTGTCCAGCTGTCCCTGCCTCTCCTGGGAGCCTCCTGACCTGCGGCTTCTCCGTCCTCAGCATCGAGGAGATTCTGGCCGACTCTGAAGACGAGGACGAGGAGGAGTCGGAAAGGAGCCGGGGCCGGGAGCAGCGGAAGCTGGACCGGCAGAGGAGCCGGGCGTGGCTGAAGGAGGGCGGTGGGGACGAGCCGCTCAACTTCCTGGACCCCAAGGTGGCCCAGCGAGTCCTGGGTGAGCAGGGAGTGACCGGCCCTGAGGGTGTAAAATAGGCTTCTTGGGTTGGGGGTTGGTGCGAACGCCTTTTGTGGTTTATGACGAGGGTGTGAGCGGGTTGGGACTGACCCCCTACCCCTCACTGCCGACTGCACGCCAGCCACACAGCCGGGGCCGGGCCGCGGCAAAAAGAGGGACCACGGCTTCAAGGTGAGCACTGACGGCCGGCTGATTATCCGGGAGGAGGAAGACCAGGACGAGGCCGCCGGGATGGAGGACGACGACGGCAGTAAAGGTGGGTGCCTTCTCGGGCGGCTGCTGGCCTGGGCGGAGCCCGTTTGTTCATTTGCTCCTTCTTTTTTGTCTTTTAAGATTTATTTATTTATGCATACAAGAACTGGGGTGCAGAGGTGTGGGGAGTGAGAGGAGTTGCCAGAGTCAGAGCAGGGAGCAGAACAGGCCGAGCCACTGGAACACTGCTGAGGGGGCAGCGGGAGACAGGAGAGGTTTGCTGTGCCATGTGGGTAGCTCCCTGGCGGGCGGGGATCGACCTCAAGCTGCAGTGGCTGGTGAGAGCCCCCCAGCGCTATCTTTAACCCCTGCGCCACCAGGGAGGCCCTTAATTCGCTCGTTCTTAAAGTGACCATTTACTGGGGAAGCATGGTGTCTAAGCCAACTCTCTCAAACTTTTCTAGTTTCTCAAACTTACTGGACCACATTAGGAAATGTTGTGGTGCAACCCGGCCGTTGTCAATGTGTATACAATTCAAGCAGAACTTCGGGACCCCACTACTTCTCTCTGGAGTGAGATGCACTTTGGTGATCTCCACTCGATTCTGTGTCTTCTCTTGCTCTTTATAAACTGGGCTGAGGCTGGTAGCTCATTTAGAGGAGGAAGAGCCAGACGCAGATCCTCCCGATTGATTCTATTGTCTCCTGTTGTCCAGGGGCCAACCTTCTCTGAGTCCCGTTCATCCTCCCTGTGCCCTCTGCATGTATCATTCGTTGCCTCACAAAAGCCCAGGTCCTATGTACAATTTTTTTGTCCCCACTGCTGCAACCCTGGGCCCTTGACTCACCGCAGCCTCCTAACCGGGGCTCCCTACTCCCCCTGCACGTCCATGACCAGCTGTGTGACTGCAGACAGTTATTTAACCCCTCTCTGCCCCAGTCCCCTCACTCCAAAATAGGAATGATACCTATACCTTCAGGGGGTTGCTGGTAGCCAGAACCACCCACAGTGCTTGGTGTCAGTCCTGAGCTGGGCTCATCACTGCTCACCCCTTTCTGCCCACATATTCCTGATGCTAAAGGTGCCCCCTCCCCGCTCTTTAAGATGCAGTTCAAGTCCTTTCTGGCCTTTCTTTTTTTTTTTTTTTAAAGATTTATTTATTTATTTATACAAGCACTGGGTACAGTCAGAAGCACAGGAGGGTGAGAGAATTCACCAGAGCCAGAGCGGGGAGCAGAGCAGGCAGAAGGACCGAAGTACACTGCTGAGGGGAGCAGCGGGCGGCAGGAGAGGTCTGTGCACCATGCGGGACCCTCCTCTGGTGGCCGGGGAGCAGCCGGGGATCGAACCGGCGCTGCAGCCGCGGGCAGCTTCGCAACCCAGCGCTCAACCGCTGCGCCACCAGGGAGGCCCCTTTCTGGCCTTTCCATAGCCCCTCAGCCTTCAGGCCTTGATCCTCAGGTACCCCCACAGGCCCACGGTCTTTCCAGGCTCCTGCCGTTGGTCACGTTCTGTCTTGTGACATCAACCTGTGAATGTGTCCTTTGATGCACAGAAATCTGTTAATTTTGATGTGGTCAAATTTCTCTGTCTGCACTCTGGTTGCCTATGCTTTTTGGTAGCTCATACGTCTATATCCCCACACAGGGCCCAGGACATGGGGGGTGGGGTAGGAGGGAGGGGGTTTGCAATTAGGAGAGTGAAGCAGTCCTGACAAAACAGTGCGTGTCTGGCGGGGGGGTGCCTGACCTCCTGGAAACCTGGAGCTCTCCTGGAGTCTCAAAAAAAAGCTGCATTTATCTTAGAAGAGAAATCACCACTTCCTTGAGGGGCTGGTCTTTCTGGAGTCTAGAATTAGTGGGAGAAAGGGACATCGTTCATGGTCTTATCTTCTGCAAAAAGATGTGGGTTCTGGTGAAGGCAGTTTTCTGGAGCTGGAGTTGGCACCTCCCTCAGCCTAATGAGCCAGGAGGAGGCATGGTGACATCTGTACAGGCTTTAGGAAAATGGGGCCCCCTCAGTGCTCATCAGCCTCTCTTCTTTTTGGCTCTAGGGGAGGATGACGAGATGGCTGAGCTGATGGAAGACATGGGCGTCAAGAGTGTGAGTAGTTCTGCTGATGGAGGGCCGGCATCTTCAGATTGAGCTGTGGGCTGACAAATTCTCACCCCCTCACCCCTCCACGCTCAGCTGCCCTGCTTCCTGAATGTTCAGTATCGTGGAGGACTCTGCAGCCGGCAGTTCCCACACACACCCCTGTGTGTGTTTCAGCTTGTTCCCTTACCTGGCACACCTTCCCCTCAGCCTGACCTCTAAGCCATGAACTCCAGAGTCCTGCCTCAGGATCTCCTGGGTTACTTGGGCCCAGGAATCAGTAGTTTGAAGAGGCATCCTGGGTACTGTCCCTGGCATAGCAGCTTGCACTGTGAGCTGCTGTCTCCCTGCGGGTAGTAGTAGTTTCTAGATCAAAGCCTCCTGGCAGACAGGGCTGCTGTCAGGACCCCCTCTCCTTGGAGCACCTGATGCTGTTTGTGGCGTGTAGTAGGTGCTCTTCACTGCTGAATGTAATTGGGCTTGTTGGCCCGTCCCCATGCCCCATGCTCACAAATCCTGGGTTAGTAGCATTGTTGCGAGAGCAGGGATCTCCCCCACCTGCCTGAAAGCCCCTGGAGCACAGGAAGTAGGTCCTGTCCCAGGCCTGGTGCTTAGTAGGAATCCATGATCTTTGATGGGGAAGGGAGAGTGGAGTTTGTGCGAGGTGAAGAATTGGTAGAGCTCTTCTCTCCAAAGGAATAGGGGGGGCCTCATTTCCCTATTAGAAAGATGTGCTCAGCGGCAGAGTAGCCCTGGGGTGGGGGTTCAGAGTGGAGAGGCAGAGCGATGCAGCTGCCAAGACAGCTCAAGCCTGGACCTGGGCTGGAACCCGCTTCTGCGCTGCCAGGCTGTGTGATCTCGGACGTTACTTGTTCTCTCTGAGCCTCAGTGTTCTCACCCATAAGTGGGATATCAATGTTGATGCTCTTTGTGCTCATGCAAGTTCCCATTGCTTTCCCTATTACCATCGGTGAGGAGCGCCATGTCCCTTTTCACACCTCTGCTTACCTTCTCGTAGAAAAAGCACCAGAAACTTAAGCATCACAAAGTAGCCGACGATGAAGAACTGGAGATGCCCCCCCAGTACCAAGGTGAGGCTTCTCTCTCCTTTCTTGGGACACACTCTTCCCTGTCGCTTGCAGCAGGCAGAACCACAAGGTCGCATACACTCATATATACACATAACAAAGACTGACTGATGAGTCACCTAGGACAGGGTTGGGTTGATGATCTGGGGGTGAGGGGCGGGTTAGGAGACCTGTGCCTCATCTCTACTCCAGCCACCTGGGCCAGCTGTGAGGTTGGCAGTGACCCCTTCCAAGAGTTGTCTGTCTCTTATCAGACTGAGTTTGAGGAAGCCACCTTGGCCTGCCCTGGGTGGCGATCGGGAGGCTTAATGTTGGTCCTGCCCAGAAGGTTCTGCACATTGGTCCGTGAGCCCCAGGCTGCTCCTGTCCCCCAGTGCAGATGCTGGAGTACCAAGATAGCTGCCCAACATAAGGGGAGCTTGTGACCTCACCTCTGTCTCCTTCCCCCAAGGCAGCTCCTGCCCTCAGGCCCTCCAGCAGAGTCCTTGCTCTGCTTCAGGCTTCCAGGGGCCCCTGTGGGAAGTCCCTGGCCCCCTCTCATGCGGCCTCCTCCACAGACCAGAGCTTGGCTTACCCCCTCACTCTGAGGTGGCTGGTGCAGAAGCAGTGATTCCAGACAGTGTGGCAGGAGGCCTGGGTCAGCACTGCTTGCTGAGCTGCTCTTAGCTATGTGACCTTGGCCCAGGCATGCGTCCTCTGAGTTTTTGGTTTCTCGTCTGTAAAGGCAGGCGTTCATCTGAGTCAGCATTATAGGATTCCAGCCGCAGAGGTATCCGATCTGAGCTGCAGGCTTTCACGTCTGTTACGTGGAATAAGAGCTGCCTTGCTGTTTCCCTGTGTTGGTATGAGGCCCAAAGGAGAAAAAGCCTAAAGTGTTCATGGCACCAAGAAGGTTAGGAGGCTCCAGAGATTAGAGCTAAAATTTACAGGTAGCGGCAGAACTGAAAGTTGAATCCATCAAAGTTGAATCCCATGTTTTCTTCTAGAATAAAGGGAGCAAATTTGGCTCTGGAAAGTAAGGAGTGTTTTGCATTAGTTCCTGGAGATCACTGGTAGATCTCTGGAATCAGGTCGGTCTGAGGGGCCCAGTGGTCTCGCAAGTCACTAGACAAGCCCTCTCTAGGAAGGTCTTTGTTCTTGGCTATAAGGGACAGAGCGATGTTCCTGGATTTGACTCATCTGTTCGCTGGCAGTTCTCCAAAGAAAAGGTGCCAATGGCCTCCTTAGAGGAGGCTGCCCTGGCATTGCTGACCCATGGCCTCTGTGTTCCCTTAGCTGGAGGCTCTGGCATCCACCGCCCTGTGGCCAAGAAGGTTACTCCTGGAGCTGAATACAAGGCCAAGGTAAGAGCTGGGGTGGAACAGGGGTCTCCTGGCAGAGCTGGCAGGAAGGCAGCTGTGCCCTTCATCGTGCTGGAGAAGCACCTTTGTAGAGCCAGACTGAGGCCAGGAAGGAGGCCGAGGCCTTGCTAACATCCAAAGTCAGGGCCTTTGTTGGGTGGCCTTTCAGGACTGCAAGAGCTCTTTGGTGTCACCTGAGGTGGAGAATGAGGGGAGAGAATGTGGGGTCTGTCAAGTCAGCTGTCGGGATGGAAGGGAACCCCACAAACCTAACCGACCGTTTTTCTCTTGATGAATAGAAAGCAAGAGGGGACATGAAGAAGAAAGGTCGGCTTGACCCCTACGCCTACATCCCGCTCAATAGGACCAAGCTGAACCGCAGGTGTGATGTTGTTTGGGTCAGGGGTGAGGGCGGGTGTGGGGTGGGTGCTCTGCCCTAAACGGAGGGGACTTGTTCTTAGTAAATGCTCAACTTGGTCGCTGAAGTCTTTTTCAGGTTTTTAGTTTCGCTTCTTAATGCACGCCTGCACATAGTTGCTACCTACAATGTTAACTTGAGCCACCTTTTTAAGCATGCTGGTGCTCGGTCCGCCCAGTTGACCTGCTGCCCACCGCCTGGCAGGTCCCTTCCTCCACTGCCAGCTGGTGTTGGAAGAGCTCTCTTTTGATATTATGAGAAGGGTAGGCTGCCTGTTTCCAAAAGATGTGATCCTTCTGTTCCTTTTCCCTGCAGGAAGAAGGTCAAGATGCAGGGACAGTTCAAAGGCCTGGTGAAAGCCGCCCAGCGGGGTTCCCAGGTGGGACACAAACTCCGCAGAAAGGATCGTCGGCCCTGAGGCCCCTTTTCAGCTCCCAGCTGCCTTGACACCAGTTTGATACTCAAGGCTCCATCAGAACCTGAACTTGGAATGACTTGTTGGTACCAGGGCTTGGCTCCCAGGATTCCAGAAGCTTCAAATGGGAACTGCCCTTTAGAGACATCTTCAGGTCCTGGGAATGTGAATGCAGCCTCTGCGTCTCTGGGAAGGCCAGCAAGGCGGCTGTGCGCTCCACCCGGGGGACTGTGCGCAGTGGTCTTCTGGCTCCAGGGTGGACAGTCTTCCATGGCCTCCAGCTGCTGGGGCCCCATGGCACTCAGCCTGCCTGTGACCTGGGTGTGTGAGATTTGCCGTGAGCAGACTAGAATAAACATGCGCTAGCATACAGTGGCCCAAGAAACACTGTTTTATCACCCACCCCCTCCAGGGACGAGAATAGTGTCCGGTCATTGACACCATTGACCCCTTCCTGTCCAGTCCTTGCACCCAGTCTGGAACCTAGCATGGTAGCCCTAAGGCAGGCCTTGGAACTTGCCTACAGAACCCACCTCTGCCAGGAGGGATCCCCAGCTTCATTTTACAGTCCCAGTCAAAGGATGGTGTTTGGGAGGTGAAGTGGGGCAGAGAGCCTCAGGAACTGAGTAGAAAGAAGAGATGCTGAGAGCTGCAGCCTGGGCTGCCCCTCAACACAACATCCTCCCCTGAAGCTTTGTGCATTCATTCAAGTATCACCCTGGTTACTCCCTTCCTGCTTCCTATTCTCCTTTTCCCAATCAATTTGTGGTGCAAAGAACTGCCCGCTGTCCAGCTTTGTAGGTCTGGAGCAGAGAAGGGAGTGGTGCCTATGGACCTCCCGTTCCTTCTAAGGCCACTTGTCCCATTGGCTTAGGATACCCCTTGGGTGTGCTTTCCCCGAAGGGTCCAGAAGCAGAGAACGGTAGGGTTATCCCCATCTGAGATAAAAACACGTGCGCATGCATGCCTTCATCGTTCCATTTTATTTTAGTGCTCTTGGCTCTGATAATGCTCTCAGGAGGCCTGTGAATCTTCCCACTCATCCTTTGATTTGATCCATTGCCCCCCCAAATTAGGACATTTCCTCCCTATGTTGTTGCTCTAGGACCCTGAGAAGCACACACTTCACCCAGAGGTGGCGCTGTTTACTTGTCATGTTTGCAGAAGAGGCAGCTATTAGAGATTTGCAAAGGTGGTCTGTGACCCCTGTCAGTACGTTGATGGACACAAGGTGGATCAGCTTAATCCTAAATCCATCCTCTGAAATGTAACCCCATTACATTACATGAAGGAAGCCTCATGTAAAGTAGCTACAGGTATGAGCCAATTGCCCAGTATTGATGTCTTTTTGAAAAGTTTGAAGCCAACTTGTTTATTACAGTGTTTTCTACGGAGCTTCATTTCTTTTCAAAGGTGGGAGTTGGCAGGTTATCTTGAAAAGTGGATGTTGGTGAGCTGCTGAACTCCATATTCTTTTGGAAATAGACGTAAAATGTACATGATCTGATGCAGAGGCAAGAATTAATCTGCCCTAGAAACTTCAGGTGCTTGAAACATGTTCTGAAAGTCAGCACTGTTTTATTTCAAGGCTCATTCCATTTCAGAGCAACTAGCAAGGTTGAGGATCGCCACTAAGGTCCAGGTTCACTCCTTTAACTTCATGTTGCTTTTGGCAATGTCAGAACCTGAGTCTTTGGGCTTTTTTTTTTTTTTTTTTTTTTCCTGCAGTCCATTCTCTACTCATTCACAGGAACAGAAGACAATGTACCCTCCTGACTGCACCAGAACTAACACCATTGTGTTGGCCAGGGACATGGGCACGTCGGGGGTTTACACAAGCCGTCAGCTCTGATCCTCCATTGTGACATTTGGGTTAAACCAACCCTGTGCCTTCTCAGGAAATGTAGCTTCTCATGATTTTGGCAGCAGGCCTGGTGGTGACTGGCCTCACAGGTCATTCCAGGCAGTGACTGTCTTATTTGCAAGCCTGCCTCAGTTGCACATGCTCACTCATGTTTTCTCGGTATTGTTTGCAACACATGAGAAAATTACTTATGACATCAACTTGTCTCTGTTTTTGTTCTTGATTGCTTGTGTTTCTTCAAAGGGTAACTTAGAAAAGTAGAATGTGTACTGCATTTCATTCTAAAAGTAATAGACCTTCACAGAACATTTAGAGCAAGCAGAAAAGTAAAAGCAGGAGTTAACGCTGTCCCGATTCTCAGTTAACCCCTGTATATCTTCATCTCTGTTTTCCTTTAAACGAGGCTCTTTTTATACCAAGGAAAAAATATATATAGTTTTAAAATACAAATTTATGTTTTAAATTTGCACTAAACAATCAAAATTTTTACCTGGTGGACATAAACTCTTCATAAATACTGTTTTCCATGGCCAGGCTTAAACATCAGCCCAGCGGACACAGCTCAGTTTATGTACAAGGGGTCTTTTCCCCCTTCTCAAGTCTGCTGCTCCTGGTCCATAGGAGTTGAAGGCCATCACTAGATGCTGGATCATGGACAAAGCAATAATTAGAAAATGACATGGCCACGGCTCTTCTATTTTTGATGCACATTATTATGAAGAGGTAGATGACTGTGCTCCAGAAAATCAACCTGATCTGGAGCAGTGTGAGCTGGCTCACTATTTCCTGAAATCATGCGTCAAGTACGTCCTGCCACTAGGAAAACTGAGCAAGCTGTTAGGCTGGCCGAGTCATCCAGGGCTAGGGCTGCGGTGGCAGAAAGTTTTCTGCCAGCCCAAGCCCCATGGCGTGGTCATGGGTGTGCCTAGAACGGGATTCTGAGGCTGTGGTCAATAGTAAATATTAAGAATGTGGGTGGAGGCGTAGCGGTCACATTCTCATTCCCAGGTCCAGGTCTGAATATCGGCTTTGCAAGTCTAAAGTCAGAGCTGATCAGGTTCAGAGAGGAAAAAAACAGACTCCCTCACAAGAGGTCTAGTCAGAATTATAATTTATCAATTTGTAATGGAAATGATACCCACAAGAGGCCGGACAGTAGGCGTCATGCTGACCGCTCAGCCCAAGTGGGAAGTCAAACAGGAGGCTGGTGAGCATGAAACGGGCCAAGGAATCGTGTGAAAATGAGCAAGGTGCGGTGGTAGCACGTGGGTTGACCTGTCCTTGGATTCCGCTCTCCACTGGTTAGGGCTGCAGAGCTGGCCAGGTCTTCCCTCTGTCTTCCAGGCCCTGGAGCCACTTACCTGCTGTTCTGAAGCTTTTCTGAAATTAATTCCCTTGCTGCTTCCTTCACTTGCAGTCACGCCTGGATTGAATTCCTAAGCCTAGGTCTTCCGGCTTTTACAAGGGACACATCCTGTCTCCTCTGGGCCCTTGTGCAGATAACTAGTGCTGTCCATCTTGTGTGGACTTGAAGGGTTTAACTTCCAGAGGGCAGCGTGACTTCCAGTTTCCAGGGATGTCACCCTTATACCCATGACACCAGCTACAGAACTGAGAGGATTTTAGGCTACACTTTTTTTTTTTTAAGATTTATTTATTTAGGGCCTCCCCGGTGGCGCAGCGGTTGAGCGCTGGGTTGCGAAGCTGCCCACGGCCTCTGCGGCGCCTGTTCGATCCCCGGCTGCTCCCCGGCCACCGGAGGAGGATCCCACATGGCGCGCAGACCTCTCCTGCCGCCCGCTGCTCCCCTCAGCAGTGTACTTCGGTCCTTCTGCCTGCTCTGCTCCCCGCTCTGGCTCTGGTGGATTCTCTCACCCTCCCGCGCTTCTGACTGTACCCAGTGCTTGTATAAACAAAACAAACAAACAAACAAATAAATAAAAGCATGCCTCTATTTAAAAAAAAAAAAAGATTTATTTATTTAGGGGCCTCCCCGTGGCGCAGCGGTTGAGCGCTGGGTTGCGAAGCTGCCCGCAGCCTCTGCAGTGCCGGTTCGATCCCCGGCTGCTCCCCGGTCACCGGAGGAGGGTCCCACATGGCGCGCAGACCTCTCCTGCCGCCCGCTGCTCCCCTCAGCAGTGTACTTGGGTCCTTCTGCCTGCTCTGCTCCCCGCTCTGGCTCTGGTGAATTCTCTCACCCTCCCGCGCTTCTGACTGTACCCAGTGCTTGTAAAAATAAATAAATAAATCTTTAAAAAAAAAAAAGATTTATTTATTTATACAAGAGCTGGGGTACAGGTCAGAGGCGTGGAAGGGTGAAAGGATTCACCAGAGACAGAGTGGGGAGCAGAACAGGCAGATGGACTGAAAACACTGCTGAGGGGAGCAGCAGGCAAGACAGGAGAGGTCTGCCGCGCAATGTGGGTATCTCCCTGGCCAGCCGGGAATTGAGCCCATGCTGCAGAGACTGCGGACAGCTTCATAGCACTGCACTCAACCTGTTGCACCACCTGGGAGGCCCTAGGCCACACTTTCAAGAAGGATCTGAGGCACCAGTGACAGGCAGATGGCTCCTGCACAAGCCTAATGTCTCCTCTGTCAGTTTTGCCAGCTCTTGAAAAGTCTCACTTTGATACAGAACGGTTGCTACACAGTAGATCTTGGACTTGAGGCCACTGAGCCTGAACAACATACACAGCTGATAACCTGGGACCAATCCCCCAGTTGTAAATACACTCATAAAAATGACGCGGCATAGAATTAGCCAATCAGATTTTACACAGCGGGTATATTGATTGGAGCGCTGTGTGATAATGCTTATCTGAAAATACCCTCCTCAGTCATTCCAACAGCCAATTCAACTCCCTGCTAGTAGGTGGGGTACACCTCCAAAACAAATACTCAGACTAATGTACTAGCAGAGTTGACATCTAACCCACAGGAGGACTATCACCCTGGGCACGTGGGTCCCTCCCTCGGGACTTCACATAACCAAACAGTCACACCTGATCAGCCACACACGTCAGATGTGAATCTCTTGTGCAGGTGCAGAGGCAGTTCCCACTCGAATTGCAGAGCCCTGCATGTTACCAAACACATTCGCACACACCTCTTTTGAGCCCCACAGTGGCCTGGGTATATTATGATCATAGTTATCGTTGATTCTCAATTTACAGCGAACCCAAATGTAAAGTTAAACAGGTGGCATAAGGTAACATCCAGGCCTCAAATTCAAAAGCAGCCTATGGGACTTAACCCAGGGGAGAAAACGGTGTTGCAAGAGGCTTAATTGTGGATGTCTAAATACTGCAGGATGTTGGGACACCAGACTCTGTTCTTGCCATTTGTCATTGGGCAGGCGCTTTGCTCCCAAAGCTGAGATTCTGGGACTAAAATCAATTACAGAACAGGTTTCTTTGTACTTGGTGCGAGGAGGGTGGAGTTACACCAGGACTGACTTTCTTGATGACTGAGGGCCAGGGCAGGGCAGGGCAGGGCAGGGCAGGGCTGCTTACTGGATATTCCTTCTTTCTTCCTTTTCCCCTTTCAAGGAGGGGGATGGGAGCATGGAGTTAGCAATCAAGTCTTTCCTACCTTTCCATCATTTTCTTCTCCCACATTCCTTATTCTTTTCTCAAAACTTTTTAAAAGATTTATTTATTGTGTAGAGCAACTGGGGTGTAGGCCACAGGTATGGGGGGTGAGAGGATTCACCAGAGACAGAGCGGGAAGCAGAACAGGTGGATATACTGAAATACACTGCTGAGGGGAGCAGCGGGCAAGACAGGAGGCGTCTGCTGTGCCATGTGGGTTAGTTCCCAGGCCGGGGATCAAACTCACCCATAGATCCCTCTACCTCTATCACCTCTACTGTACCACCATAGAGGTGATAGCACTGAGACTGAACCCCTAGGCCACTAGGGAGGCCCTTATTCTCTTTACCCTCCCCTCCACTCCTCTCCCTGTCCTGCCACTCATCTACCAGCGGCCCCACTTTCATTGTGTATTTATTGTGAGTCAAGACCTTCAAAGAAATTTTTTCGTGAAGCATGAGAGGTACACCGGGAGAAAAACAGACAGAATCCTTGCCTTCAGGAAGTTTATGGAAAGGAACAGTAAATGAAAAATGAATTAAAAAATAAAACACATGGCCTCTCTGGTGGTACAGGCAGTTGAGCGCTGCACTGTAAAGCTGTCCGCAGCCTCTGCAGTGCGGGTTCGACCCCGGCTGGCTGGCGAGGGTCCCACATGGCGCGCAGACCTCTCCTGCCGCCCGCTGCTCCCCTCTGCAGTGTATTTCGTCATACTGCCTGTTCTGTTCCCCACTCTGTCTCCTGTGAATCCTCACTCTCCCACGCATCTGGCCTGTACCCCGGTTCTTGTATAAAAATAAATAAACCTTTAAAAAAAATAAAAATAAAACACATGATGGATTGAAATAATACTCTGTAGTTCTAAGCAGGGATACTATGAAGGGACCTGATTTGAACGAGGGGGCATAGAAGGCAGGGCTTCTTGGAGTGAATGATGTTTGTCTAAGACCTGAAGGTGAGCAGGCTTTAGGTTTAGTGGTTTGTCTAAACAACCAACGCTCCAAAATTTCCAGATCCTCAGGCCTTAGGGCAATGGTCTGGCTGGAAGGTGGGTTCAGGCTGGACCTGTGTTGAAGGTCTGTTGCATAGCAGGCTCACTGTTCTCACTGAGATTGCATGTTTATGTATGTCTGTGTGGTTGAAGATGGGGGTGGTACTTTTCAAGCTCCTCTAATCCACTTTTGGGCCATGCTCCAGACTGAGCAATAGCAAATGCGGAGGTCCCAGAGTTGAAAGAATTTGGCCAGAGTTGCTGGCCTAGGGAACGAGGACAGTGGGGTAACCAAAGGCTGGAGAGGCTGCTGCTGGTAATGGTTTTACAGGACCTTGAATTAGCCTCTACTGGGGTCTCAGGGGTGGGGGTAGAGATGGGACACAGAGGACTGACCTCATCTGACTTTATTTATGCATACAAGAACTGGGGTGTAGGCCAGAGGTGCGGGGGGAGGGGGTGAGAGGATTCACCAGAGACAGCGTGGGGAACAGAACAGGCTGACAGACTGAAATACACTGCTGAGGGGAGCAGCAGGCAAGACAGGAGTGGTCTGCTGTGCCATGTGGGTAGCTCCATGGTCAGGAGGAACTCATGCCACAGTG